CGCGGGATGGGGTTGAGGTCACCGTGGCCCCCCGCTTGTGCCCCCCCCAGGCTCGTGAACTCCAGACCCTCCACAACCTGCGCAAGCTGTTCGTTCAAGACGTCACGACTCGAGTCAAGAAAGTGAGGGGGGGGAATGGGGGGGACCAGGAATGGGGGGGATGAGGGAGGGGGTCAAGGAGGGGAGAAGGGGGCACTGGGGGGGGTTGGCCGGGGGGGGCGGGTGCAGGTTGGGAGGGGCCCAGTCTGAGCATGGGGGGGGGTCAGGGGTTCCCAGTTTGGGCATTGGAGGGCGTCTGGGGGGGGGGTGTCTCAGATCAGCACCATGGGGGGTGCCAGAGAGGTTGGGGGGCTCTCAGGTTGGGGGGTCCCGGGTTGGGGGGGTCTCAGATTGGGGGGTCCCGGGTTTGGGGGTCTCGGGTTGGGGGTCCCGGGTTTGGGTGATCCCGGGTTTCAGGGGTCTCAGATTGGGGCATCCCGGGTTTGGGGGGGTCTCAGGTTGGGGGGTCCGAGTTTGGAGGGTCTCAGGTTGGGGGGGGTCCCAGGTTGGGGGATCCAGGTTTGGGGGATCCTGGGTTTGGGGGGGTCTCAGGTTGGGGGTCCCGGGTTGGGGGTGCCTCAGGTTGGGGGATCCCGGATTTTGGGGGTCTCAGGTTGGGGGTCCCGGGTTTGGGGGGGTCTCAGTTTTGGGGGTGCCGGGTTTGGGGGTGTCTTAGGTTGGGGGATCCCGGGTTTGGGGGCTCTCAGTTTGGGGGTGCGGGGTTGGAGGTGCCGATGTTCAGGGGGCCCCTCCCGTTGCCCCCCAGAGCGCAGAGCTGGAGCCCGAGGACAGTGGGGGGCTGCACTCCCAGAAGCAGAAGATTTCCTTTCTTGAGAACAACCTGGAGCAGCTTACAAAGGTTCACAAACAGGTGGGTGCGGCCCCCCCATGGCCATACCCCGTCCATCCCACCCCCAGCTTCATCTTGGGGTCCCAGCCCCCCAAAACCCCATGGTGGAGGGGTGGGGCATGGCCATGGGGGGCACACGGTGATGCTCCCCCTGCCCCCCACTGCCTCCCCCTTAACTGGAGCTCTGGGTGTCCAAGCTACTGCCCTACATCTCTGTCCCATGGGCACCCCCATAACTGGGGGGGGGGCCACTGCGCTGCCCCCCCTTCACCCTTGGCTGTAGTGCACCCAACTCTCCGTGTCCCCTCCCCCACTGCTGCTTGTGGCAGCTCTGGGGCTGGGACCCCCGGCACTGGGGGTGAGGAGGCCTGGGTGGGTGCCGTGACCCAGCCTGTGGGTGCGGGGGGTCCCCGTGCTGGGCGGGTCCGAGGGAGGTCTGGGGGTTCCCGGCTGAGTTCGGCTTCTCCCGGCGAGGTTCAGAGGGATTCGGGTGCTCCCGGCGGGGTTCGGAGCGGTTCAGGTGCTCCCGAGGGGGTTCGGAGGGGTTCGGGTGCTCCCGGGCGGGTTCGGGTGCTCCCGGCTGGGTTCGGAGCGGTTCAGGTGTTCCCGAGGGGCTTCGGAGGAGTTCGGGAGTTCCCGGGCGGGTTCGGGTGCTCCGGGCGGTGACGCGGGCGCGGCGCGCGCAGCTGGTACGTGACAATGCAGACCTGCGCCTGGAGCTGCCGCGGCTGGAGCGGCGCCTGCGCACAACGGCTGGCCGCGTGCACGCGCTGGAGGGCGCGCTGAGGGACGCCAAGGAGGGCGCGCGCCAGGAGCGGCGGCGCCACCTGCTGGAGGTGGAGCGCGTCCGGTTGGCGGCGCGCGCGCGGGGGACGGGGCGCCGCGGAGCCAGCGCCGTCATCGGTGAGCGCGGGAAAACGGGGGGGGGGGGGGGGGGGGGGGGGGCGGGGGGGGGGGGGGGGGGTAATGGGGATGTAGGGGGCTAATGAGATATATGGGGTTAATGGGATATATGGGGTTAATGTGAGATATGGGGGTAATGGGATATATGCGGTTAATGGGATATATGGGGTTAAAAGGAATATATGGAGTTAACGGGATATATGGAGTTAATAGAATAAATGGGGGTAATGGGATATATGGGGACAATGGGATATATGGGTGTAATGGGATATATAGACACAATGGGATATATGGGAGTTAATGGGATATATGGGGTTAATTGGATGTATGGGGACAATGGGATATATGGGGGTAATGGGATATATTGGGGCAATGGGATGTATGGGTGTAATGGGATATACTGGGGGTAATGGGATATATGGGGACAATGAGATATATGGGGCAATGGGATATATAGAGTTAATGGGATATATGGGGGTAATGGAATATATGGGGTTAATGGGATATGTGGGTAATGGGATATATGGTGGTAATGAGATATATGGGTTTAATGGGATATATGGGGGTAACGGGATATATGGGGGCAATGGGATGTATGGGAGGTAATGGGGTACATGGGGGCAATGGGATATATGGGGGGTAGTGGGATATATAGGGGCAATGGGACATGGGTATTAATTGAACATGGAGGGTTTATGGGGTTAATGAATATGGGGTTAATGGGGTTGTATGGGGTTAATGGGGATATATGGGTTAATGGGACATGGGGGGGCAGAGGGGGAGTACAGGGACGTGGCGGGGTACAGGGACAGGGCCCTGGGCACTTGGAGGGGGGCACAGAGGGGGCAGGGATCGGGGGGGGGCACAGGGTCGGGGGGGAACACCCGGGGTCCCTGCGCCCCTCACCCCTGTTCCTCCCGCAGCTAAACCCGTGCGGCCCGGGCAGGGTCCGGCGGCGTCACCCACTGGGGGCAGCTCCAGCAGCGGGGGGGGGCCCCTGCCCGGCCCCCGGGGCCTGTGAGTGTGGGGCAAGGGGGGGCTGGGGGGGGTATGAGAAACAGAGGCTATGGGGGGGCACAGGGGCTGTGGGGGTGCAGGGAACACAGGGGCCATATAGGGATGGAGGGGTAAGAGGGGGTATAGGGCTATGGGGAGGAGATATAGGAGCGTGGGATGGGGGGCATGGGGGCTATGGGGGGGTACAGGGGCTATGTGGGTCTCCAGGCCTCTGTCCCCATGTGTCCCCCATGCCCCCCTCTCTCCAGCAGGCCCCTGGACACCTTCGAGCAGCTCAACGTGGATAACGGTGAGGGGGGGGAAGGCGGGGGGGAGCGGGGCGGTTGTGAGATGGGGATGGGGGGGGGTGCACCTGGACGCCCCCCCGGAGCTGCCCTCTCTCTTGCAGGGAACGTGACGGACATCAATGACAACAGGTCAGGGGGGGGCCGGGGGAGGCAAAGGGGGGGCTGGCGGGGGTGACCCTGCCTGACCCTGCTCCCCCCCCAGGAGTGACCTGTCCTGTGCCTATGAGGCCGAGGAGCAGCCCCTGCTCTTCCCCCTGCGCCAGGAGACAGCGGCCAGCTAGGGCCCCCCCGCCAGGTGCCCCATCCCCCCGTGTCCTATGGGATTCCCCCATCACCCCCCCATGTCCTATGGGATCACCCCCCCAAGTCCCATGGGATTCCCCCATCACCCCCCCCCCCCATGCCCTATGGAATCCCCATCAACCCCTGTGTCATTTGGGATACCCCCATCAACCCCTGTGTCATTTGGGATCACCCCCCATGTCCTATGGGATCGTCCATCACCGCTCCCCCCGTGTCCTTTGGGTTCCCCCATCACCCCGTGGTTTCCTATGAGATCCCCCCATCACCCCCACCCCCATGTCCTGTGGGATCCCCCCATCCCCTTGGGACATTCCCCCTCATCCCTTTCTTCCCCCCATCTCCTATGTGCCCCCACCCAGAGCCTCCCAGGGACCCCCCCCATCCCCTGGGGACCCTCCCATGGCCCCTGCACACCAAGATCCTGCGCCCCCCTTCGGGTCCCCCCAACACCTTCCTGCCCCCCCAGGTCCCTCCGGACCCGCCTGCGCTCGCATGTCCCGGTGTCACCTCGTGTCCTGTCTGCTCGCGCCCCCCCACGCCGAGGGGGGCCCCCCCCTCCAGCCCAGGATCCCCCTAGGGCCCCCCACCCCTGCCGGGGTCCCCCGGGCCTGGGGGTGCTGCTTCGAGATGCCTTAACCCGCACCCATGGGGGTGTCAGGGGTCACCCCCTCCCCCCGCTTGGCCCCTCGGCTCTGCCCCGCCCCCCCGGTGTGTGCCCCCCCCCCCCCCCGCTGCGATTCAATAAAGACCGGAGCTGAGCCGAGCCTGAGCGCGGGGTGGGGGGCTACGGAAGGGGCGGGGCCATGGGAAAATGGGCGTGGTTATGTGAAAGGGGGCGGGGCTCTGAAGAGGAGGCCGGGGGGGCAGCAGTGTTCGGGTGACATGTATCCTCTATAGGGTCACAGACGTCACCTATACGGTGACATGTATCCCCTTTATGGCCATACGTTAGCTATAGGATCACACATTACCTATAGGATCACACATGTCACCTATAGGGTCCCATTTATCCCCTATAGGGTCCCATATATTCCATATAGGATTGCATGTATCCCATACAGGGTCATACACGTCACCTATAGGATCACACACATTATCTATAGGGTCACACAGGTCACCTATAGGGTCACATGTATCCCTTACAGGGTCTCATATATCCCAGACAGGGCCCCCTATATCCCATATAGGGTCCCATATATCCCATACAGGGTTCCCTATATTCCATATAGGGTCACATATAAACCCTATAAGGTCCCATATATCCCATACAGGGTCCCATATATCATACAGGGTCACATATACCCCCTATAGGTCCCATATATCCCATACAGGGTCCCCTGTATCCCATATAGAGTCACATACGTTATCTGTAGGATCACGCACGTCACCTATAGGGTCACATACATCCCATATAGGGTCATAGCCGTCATCTATAGGCTCACATACGTCACCCGGACGGTCACATATACCCGCCATGGGGTCCCAGGCACTCTACCGGAGCGCGGGCCCACAGCGCGCACACGGCGCATGCGCAGTCCCCCTCTCCCACCGTCCCCATCGGCTTCCTGCTCCCCGCTTCCCCCTTCCGGCGCCGCGCGGGCCCGGGCGGAAGTGGCGCCATGGCGGCGGCGGTGGGCCCGGGCGCGCCGCGGGCCAAGACGAAGAAGAAGCAGAAGCGGTTCGTGCCGCAGCGCGTGAAGGTGCCGCGGGCCGCGGACCCGCTGCTGGCCGTGCTCTGCTGGGGCGTCACCCACCAGGTCAGGCCCCGCCACCGGCACCGGCACCGGGCCCGGGCAGGCCCCGCCGCTCCCGGTGCCGGGCGGTCCCACAGCGAGCGCTGCCCCGCAGGTGAGCGAGCTGAGCCAGGTGCCGCCGCCCGTGATGCTGCTGCCCGACGACTTCCGCGCCAGCTCCAAGATCAAGGTCAACAACCACCTCTTCAACCGGTGCGTGCGGGGCGAGGCCAGCGGGGCCCTCCCGTCCCGGTGCTCCCCCCGGCTGCCGTGCCCTCAACCCCCCCGTCCCCAGGGAGAACCTGCCCGGCCACTTCAAGTTCAAGGAGTACTGTCCCCAGGTGTTCCGGAACCTGCGGGAGCGCTTCGGCATCGACGACCAGGACTATCAGGTGGGGGGACAGCGACAGCGGGGGGGGGGGCATTGGGGCACCCCTTCCCCCCCCCGCTGATTTTGGGGTATCCCATCAGGTATCCCTCACCCGGAGCCCCCCGCACTGGGTGGGCAGCGACCGGCGGCTCCTGCTCTGCTCTGACCGCACCCTGGTGGCCAAGGAGCTGTCAGGGGAAGACGTGGCCGATGTCCACGGGCTCCTCTCCCATTACCACCAGGTACGGGGGTGCCGGGGGGGGCGGGTCCCCGCGGGTCCCGGTGTGTCACTGAGCCCCCCCCCCCCGCAGTACGTGGTGCAGTGCCACGGCAGCACGCTCCTGCCCCGCTTCCTGGGCATGTACCGTGTGAGCGTGGACAGCGAGGAGACCTACCTGCTGGTCATGAGGAACATGTTCAGCCACCGCCTGCCCGTGCACCGCAAATACGACCTCAAGGTAATGGGGGGGGGGGGGGGGGGACGGACCTGTGCACCTCCCCTGTCCCCTGTCCCCCAAGTGCAATCCCCATTTCATGGTTCCTCTCCATCACCTCCACGTCTCTGCAGGGTTCCCTGGTGTCCCGAGAAGCCAGCGACAAGGAGAAGGTACCAGGGTGGGCAGGTGGGATGTGACCCCCCAGACTTGAGGGGGTCATTATCCTCCAGGCCTCATTATCCCCCACCCCAATAATGACAGCTCCTTGGCTGCCTCCCCTGGTGATGGCTCATGGTGGGGCTGGCACGGATCTAAGCCCTCTGCTACGGGCACGTGGTTCCCTTCACCCCTGGGGATCCCCCCGCTGCCTCCCCCCTCCAACTTGATGCTTTTTTGGGGTGCTCCTCCCCAATATGCCCCCCCCCGCCGTGTTGCAGGGCAAAGACCTGCCCACCCTGAAGGACGTGGATTTCCTGAACAAGAACGAGAAGGTCTACGTGGGGCAGGAAGACCAGAGGGACTTCATGGAGAAGCTCAAGAGGGATGTGGAGGTGGGAGAGTTGGGGCCTGCACCCCAAATTGGGACCCATAGTGTGGGTGCTGCACCCCAAAGTGGGACCCATAGTGTGGGTGCTGCACCCCAAAGTGGGACCCATAGTGTGGGTGCTGCACCCGAAAGTGAGACCCATAGTGTGGGTGCTGCACCCCAAAGTGGGACCCATAGTGTGGGTGCTGCACCCCAAAGTGGGACCCATAGTGTGGGTGTTGCACCCCAAAGTGGGACCCATAGTGTGGGTGCTGCACCCAAAGTGGGACCTATAGTGTGGGTGTTGCACCCCAAAGTGGGACCCATAGTGTGGGTGCTGCACCCCAGAGTGGGACCCATAGTGTGGGTGTTGCACCCCAAAGTGGGACCCATAGTGTGGGTGCGCACCCCAAAGTGGGACCCATAGTGTGGGTGCTGCACCCCAAAGTGGGACCCATAGTGTGGGTGCTGCACCCGAAAGTGAGACCCATAGTGTGGGTGCTGCACCCCAAAGTGGACCCATAGTGTGGGTGTTGCACCCCAAAGTGGGACCCATAGTGTGGGTGCTGCACCCCAAAGTGGGACCCATAGTGTGGGTGCTGCACCCCAGAGTGGGACCCATAGTGTGGGTGTTGCACCCCAAAGTGGGACCCATAGTGTGGGTGCTGCACCCCAAAGTGGGACCCATAGTGTGGGTGTTGCACCCCAAAGTGGGACCCATAGTGTGGGTGCTGCACCCCAGAGTGGGACCCATAGTGTGGGTGTTGCACCCCAAAGTGGGACCCATAGTGTGGGTGCTGCACCCCAAAGTGGGACCCATAGTGTGGGTGTTGCACCCCAAAGTGGGACCCATAGTGTGGGTGTTGCACCCCAAAGTGGGACCCATAGTGTGGGTGCTGCACCCCAAAGTGGGACCCATAGTGTGGGTGTTGCACCCCAAAGTGGGACCCATAGTGTGGGTGCTGCACCCCAAAGTGGGACCCATAGTGTGGGTGTTGCACCCCAAAGTGGGACCCATAGTGTGGGTGCTGCACCCCAAAGTGGGACCCATAGTGTGGGTGGTGCACCCCAAAGTGGGACCCATAGTGTGGGTGCTGCACCCCAAAGTGGGACCCATAGTGTGGGTGTTGCACCCCAAAGTGGGACCCATAGTGTGGGTGCTGCACCCCAAAGTGGGACCCATAGTGTGGGTGTTGCACCCCAAAGTGGGACCCATAGTGTGGGTGCTGCACCCCAAAGTGGGACCCATAGTGTGGGTGCTGCACCCGAAAGGAGACCCATAGTGTGGGTGCTGCACCCCAAAGTGGACCCATAGTGTGGGTGTTGCACCCCAAAGTGGGACCCATAGTGTGGGTGCTGCACCCCAAAGTGGGACCCATAGTGTGGTGTTGCACCCCAAAGTGGGACCCATAGTGTGGGTGCTGCACCCCAAAGTGGGACCCATAGTGTGGGTGGTGCACCCCAAAGTGGGACCCATAGTGTGGGTGCTGCACCCCAAAGTGGGACCCATAGTGTGGGTGCTGCACCCCAAAGTGGGACCCATAGTGTGGGTGCTGCACCCCAAAGTGGGACCCATAGTGTGGGTGCTGCACCCCAAAGTGGGACCCATAGTGTGGGTGCTGCACCCGAAAGTGAGACCCATAGTGTGGGTGCTGCACCCCAAAGTGGACCCATAGTGTGGGTGTTGCACCCCAAAGTGGGACCCATAGTGTGGGTGCTGCACCCCAAAGTGGGACCCATAGTGTGGGTGTTGCACCCCAAAGTGGGACCCATAGTGTGGGTGCTGCACCCCAGAGTGGGACCCATAGTGTGGGTGTTGCACCCCAAAGTGGGACCCATAGTGTGGGTGCTGCACCCCAAAGTGGGACCCATAGTGTGGGTGTTGCACCCCAAAGTGGGACCCATAGTGTGGGTGCTGCACCCCAGAGTGGGACCCATAGTGAGGGTCCTGCACCCCAAACTGGGACCTATAGTGTGGGTGTTGCACCCCAAAGTGGGACCCATAGTGTGGGTGCTGCACCCCAGAGTGGGACCCATAGTGAGGGTCCTGCACCCCAAACTGGGACCTATAGTGTGGGTGTTGCACCCCAAACTGGGACCCATAGCCCAGGGCGGGCTCAGGGAGCCCCTGCACCAACGTGGTGCTTTGGTTGTGTCCCCCACCCCATAGTTCCTGGTACAGCTGAAGATCATGGACTACAGCCTCCTGCTGGGCATCCACGAGGTGGGGCGGGAGGAGCCAGAGGAAGAGGAGCTGGAGGAAGAAGAAGGGGGGGGCGATGAGGGGGGGCCCCCGGGGGGGTTCGGGACATCCCCTGAGGGCATTGGCACCTTCCTCAACTCCCACCGGCCCCTCGGCCCTGGAGACTTCGACCCCTACGTGGACGTCTACGCCTTGCGCTGCAGCGAGGGTGAGGCTGGGGGCATGGGGGGGGGAGCACTCAGACCTCCCTGATCCCCCCTGACCCACCCCGTGTGCCCCCCAGCTGCCCCCCGCCGTGAGGTCTACTTCATGGGGCTCATCGATGTCCTCACTCAGTACGACGCCCGCAAGAAAGCAGCGCATGCGGCCAAGACGGTCAAGCACGGGGTGAGGGGGAGCTCAAACTCTGATGGGGGGAGACCCCAAACTATGGGGGTGTTTGGGGTCAGTTGTGAAAACTTCGGGGGGGGGTTGCTTGGGTGGGTTACAGCCCCTTGGCAGGCTTTTGGGGGGAGTCTTGGTGGGAAGGGGGTTGCAGGGTCCAGGGGGGTGTCTGACCCTGTGCCCCCCCTCCAGGCAGGAGCTGAGATCTCCACCGTGAACCCCGAGCAGTATGGGAAGCGCTTCCTTGACTTCATCACCAACATCTTTGCTTAGGGGGGGCCTCAGGACCAACGGCCCACCCACCCCCGAGGACCAAGGGGCTCCCCCCGCCCCCCATTCCCAGTCCATGGTCCCCCAGCAGGCCCTGGTTTGCTGTACAAGTGCCTTAACTTTATTGGGGGGTAGGGGTGGGCTGGGGCTTCTGCCCCCCTCCATTGGGGGGGGCTCACACACTACTTGCCCCAGGGAGGGCCCCCCCCGTCTCCCCAACTTCTTCTTTTCTGAGCCAGCCCTGGGGGGGTCCCATTCCTTGCCCTCCCCCCCTGCTCTCTTCATAGGGGACCTGGGGGTTCACCAGAGCCCCCCCTCATTGCAGCCCTCAGGGCTGATCCCATTCCCATGGGAGGGTCCCTGACCTTTTGTGACCCCGCCCCGGGAGGGGTGGGGGAACAGGGACGGGGGGGTGATTCCCGACACCCCCCTCTATCCAAGGGGGTCGCTGGGGGTGGTCCCGCCCCCCCCCGCCCCCTTCTGTGTTTCAATAAATTATTGATCCAGAGCCGGCTCCGAGCCCTGAACGGGACCCGAGCACCCCCCGCGGTACCGAGCACCCCCCGCCGCTGCGGGCGAACCCCGCAACACCTCTCGCCTGCCTCTAGTCTACGCCCTCATTCAAGCCACGCCCTCTATGCGTCTGACCACGCCCCATCCCAGTGCCGCGCCTGGGTTCCTGGTCACGCCCCCACCTCCTTTCCCCGCCCCCTTCCTTTAGCCCGGCCCCCGCCATCGCGCGCCGTTCCCATGGCGACTCTCCCGCTGCTCCTCGCTCGCGGATCTCCTCCCTCCACTGCCGTTGCCATGGTCCCCGCCCCCGTTGCCATGGCGGCCCCGCCCCGCGCGTCACGTGACGCGCGGCGGCTCCGGGCCGCGCCGCCGCCGCCACCACCGCCGCCCCTCTCGGTCCTCCCGGCGATGGTGGGTCCGTGGGGGGGGGGCACGGGGACACGGGGACGGGCACCGGGACCCCCCTGCCCCGCCACCGGCGCCACCGGGCCCCGCTGTGCCCGGGAACAGGCCCCTCGGCCCGGTCAGGCCTCCCCCGAGCGCCCCAGGCCCCATCTGGGCCTCCGGGGACAGGCCGCGGCCCCATCCGGTCCCCTCCGCGCACCCCGGGTCCTCCCAGGCCCGGGCATCCCCCGGGCAGCTCAGGGGGGACCCTCCCAGCAGAGGGGACCCCGCGCAATGGGGGAGCCGCACGCGTAGAGCGGTGGGGCTCGGGGTGCAGGAGGGGCCGGGGGGTCTCCAACTCCCTCCGGGGGGGGCCCGAGGCCTGTTTGTTATTGCCGGGTCTCCTGGGGACATGGGGGGTGATGGTGCTGGGGGGGTGATGACCCCCATAAGTGGGCCAGGGACCCCCATGTAACCCCCCCCGTGTCCCCCCCCTGCAGCCTGTGGCTCGTGGCTCCGGTGCTCCGCTGGCATCTCCGGCTCCTGCTGTCCCCCATGGGCTCGCCAGGTGGGTGTCACCCCCCATGGGCCTGGGGAGCCCCCCCGGGTTTGGGGACCTCCCCTTTGGGCACCATTGTGGGGGGCTGAGCAAGGGGGTCCCCTAAATGTCCCCTCCATGGGTCACAGGGCTGTGACCCCCCCTTAACTTGATTGCTTTGGGGGCTTAGTCCCTGAGGCGCCGCCTTGAGCGGTGCCTGCATGCGCCGTCCTTCTGCTGCGTTTGGGGCATGGGGGGGATGCTGACACTCAGGTCCCATGGGGCCGCCTGTGGGTGCCACCTCTCAAGCTCTGACCCCCGTGGGGGGGACACCCCCCCCAGTGTCATTTGTCCTCTCCAGGATGGCAGCGTGCGGCGGGGCCACTAAGAACAAGGTCACGGTCTCCAAGCACGTCTGGGACTTCTTGACCAAGGAGAGCCCGGCCAAGCTGGCGCGGCTGAAGGAGGAGACCAAGGTCAGCATCATGGTGGATGGGGAGACCTCCGACATCTACGTCCTGCAGCTCTGCGTGCCCCCCCCGGGGCCCCCGGGTGGGCTCTGCCCGGCCCGCAAAGCCCTCAAGGCCTTGCTGAAGGAGACGGAGAAGGAGCTCAAGAAGAAGAACCCCTCGAGCCGCCATGGGGAGCTGGTTGGATGCGTCACCGTCCTGGAGCCTGGCGGTGCCGCCCTGGGGGGCCGGGGCCCATCCACAGCCCCCTCATCCTCGGGGGGGCCGTCGGCAGCCGGGTGCTCGCGGGAGGAGGAGCCCGAGCGCCAGTGCCCCATCTGCCTGGGGGAGATCCAGAAGATGAAGACGCTGGAGAAGTGCCGGCACTCCTTCTGCGAGGCGTGCATCACGCGGGCGCTGCAGGTCAAGACCGCCTGCCCCATGTGCGGGCGCTTCTACGGGACCCTGGTGGGCAACCAGCCCCCCAACGGCCGCATGCTGGTGACGCGCGACGCCGGGCTCCTGCTGCCCGGCTACGAGAGCTTCGGCACCATCATCATCCAGTACGTCTTCCCGCCCGGCGTGCAGGGGGTAAGATGGGGCCGGTGGCTCCCACCAACAGAGCGGGGACCTGCGCGGGGTTCTGCCTACCCCAAAACCCCCGTGGCTTGGGTGAAGGGAGGGAGCCCAGGATGGGATGGGTGACACCAAAGCAGAGCCAAAACCCTGCTGGGGGAGCCCGAACCCTACTGCGTGCCCCAGCCCTATAGCCTTGGGCACAGCACCATGGTAATGCTGTATGTTACTGGTACCTCTGGATGACCCCAGGCCCTGCTGTGTGCCCCTAACCCCATACGCCTGGGTACCCCTGACTCCCAAGGCCCTGCTGGGTCACTCAGGGTGTCCCCCCCCGCAGGAGGAGCACCCCAACCCTGGCGTGCGCTACCCGGGCACCACGCGTGTGGCGTACCTGCCTGACTGCCCCGAGGGCAACAAGGTGCTGGGGCTGTTCCGCAAGGCCTTCGCCCAGCGCCTCACCTTCACCGTGGGCACCTCCATGACCACGGGCAGGGCCAACGTCATCACCTGGAATGACATCCACCACAAGACCAGCTGCACCGGCGGGCCCCAGCTGTATGGCACCCATGGGGGGGATCCGTGGGGGGACACCCCAGGGGGATGGAGGCCTGGGGTAGGGGTGCCCCTGAGAGTGGGGCATCTGCGGGGGTACCCATGGGGCTCAGGGTTACCCCAGGGGAAGGGGGGAGAACCCCTGGGGTGAAAGGGCCCCACCCATATGGGGTGGGGGGCACCCATGGAGGGATGTACTCATGGGGGCACCCCTGAGGATTGGGGGTACCCCGGGGGGGTTCCCCTTCGGGCAGGGGTTAGGGGTATGGGGGTACCTGGAGTGGGGGCCTCGTTGTAGGGGGTGCGCCTGTGGCAGGGGAAGAGCCTTGGTGGGGGTGCACCCTGGGGTGGGGACCCCCAAAAGTGGGTGTGGGTCCCTGGGGGTATGAAGGTGGAGGCACCCACTGAGCTTCCCCCCCTCCAGGTTCGGATACCCTGACCCCACGTACCTGGCACGGGTGCAGGAGGAGCTGCGGGCAAAAGGCATCACCGAGGACTGAGCGGGGGGGGGGCACTGGGACTCCCCCCCCGGAAGACGGGGACATCCCCCAAGGAACCGAGATTCCCCCAGGGGGGAAACGAGGACCATGGCAGGGCCCGGGGGGCGTTGGTGCCCTGGGGGGGGGCGGATGGTTAATTTATTAATTGATTTTTTATTCCCCCCCTGCCCAATCTGTAACTTTGATCCAATAAAAATATGCAACGATGCGAGGGGGGGGCGGAGCTGGGGGTGGGGGGCAAGAGGTTTGGGGGAGGGGATGGCGACACTGGGGGTGGGGCACCAATGTGGAGGCACCAGGATGGAGACCTGAGAATAGGGACACCAGGATGGGGGATGTTGGGGTGGGCACACCAGGATGGGGACTGCAGGAGGGAGACGTTGGGATGGGGTCACTGGGATGGGGATTTCAGGGTGGGGACGTTGGGGTGGGAGCATGGGAATGGAACACCGAGATGGGGCCACTGGGATGTGTCCCTCTTGTGCCCGTGCCTGAGCGCCCCTGGCAGGAGCTTGACGGGGACGGACGGGAGGACCCAGGGGAGCTCCTGCAGCCCCTAAGGCCACGCCCCTCGCCTTAAGCCACGCCCCCACCCGAGGGAACCGGGCTAACGGACTAGAAAGGCCATGCCCCATCTCGAAGCCACGCCCCCGCCCCCGTGACGTCACCCGCGGCAGCAAATGGGGCGCGCGCTGGGGGCGGGACCAGTAACGAGGCAGAGACCGGTGTCGTCAAAATCTCTCCATCCATTGGGTAGAAAAGGGGGGGGGGGAGGGAGGGAAGCCCCGCCCCCTGAGGCCGGAAGGGGGCTTGGGGACAATAGAAAACTCGGGGGGGAGGGGGGCATAAAATGGGGGTCCCGGTCACGTGGGTTCCGGGGGGGGCCGGAACAACCCCCCCACAGTAGAAAAAAGCTAAAAACGGGGGGTGGGGGGACACTGGGGTAAACCATGGGGCTGCCCGCCCCCATGGCGTGGCCCATAGGGCCCCCTAGGGGGTGGCCCATCATAGGGTGGCCCATGGAGGTGGCCTATGGGGTTGTCACCCCCCCCGGGTGGTTGTCCATGGGGTGGCACATGGGGCTGGTCCCTCCCCCCAGGGTGATCCATAGGGTGGTCCATGGGGGTTGTCCATGGGGTAACCCATGGGATGGCACATGGTGGTTGTTGTGTCCGTTCCCCCCCAAAGAGTGGCCAATTGGGGTGCCCGTGGGTGGTGGCCCATGGGCAGTGCCCCTCAGGTTGGGACCCATGGTGACAGCATCCCATGGGGCTGTCCCCCAAGTGGTGGCCAGTGGGGTGCCCCATGCAGGTTACTGCCCCTGGGGTGGCAGCTCATGGGGGATGCCCATGTGTGGGTCCATGGAGTGTCCCGTTGGGATGTCCCCCATTGGGTGTCCCATGACAGTTGCTCCCCTCCCGCGTGGTGGCCTCTAGCGTGACCCATAGCATGGCACATAGTGTGACCCACAGGTCTGCCCGTAGCTTTGCCCATTGGGTGTCCCATGGTGCTTCCCCCCACCTGGGGTGGTGGCCCATGGCTTTGCCCCTGTGCTGTCCCGTTGGGGGTCCCATTCCCATGCCGGCTGCCCCGCGGGAGGCCGGGGGGGGTTCAGTTGCCAGCCATGCACTTGAAGCGGTTCTTGAAGAAGAAGAGGCGATGCTTGAGGCTGAGGCTGTCGTCGCGCGCCGCCGGGTACCGGTACCGCGCGTACTGGCGCTCGCCCTCGGAGCGGCGCCACGGCAGCGCCAGCTTGGACGCGTGGTCCACAACCACGTCCTCGCAGGAGCCCACGTGCAGCACCCCCAGCCCGTCAATGAAGAACTCTGGGGGGACAGGAACCCCATGAGCTCATGCTCCCATGTCCCACATCCCCATGTCCCACATCCCCATGTCCCACATCCCCATGTCCCATATCCCCATGTCCCCATGTCCCCGTATCACACATCCCATGTTGCATATCCCCATGTCCCTTTATCACACTTCCCATATCCCCATGTCCCACATCCCCATGTTCCATATCCCCATGTCCCCATATCCCCATGTCCCTTTATCACACTTCCCATATCCCCATGTCCCACATCCCCATGTTCCATATCACCATATCTGACACCCCTATATCCCACATCCCCATTTCCATAACCCCATATCCCACATACCCATGTCCCATATCCTGTATCGCCCTATCCCATATCCCACATCCCCATATCCCACATCCCATATCCCACATCCCATGCCCCCATATCCCACATCCCCTATCCCCATATCCCACATCCCCAAATCCACATCACCTATCCCATAGCTCACATCCTGTGCCCCATATCCCACATCCCTTATCCCACATCCCATGTCCCCATATTCCACATCCCCGTATCCCACATCCCCAAATCCTACATCCCATATCCCACATCCCCTATCCCATATCCCACATCTCATGTCCCCCTATCCCACATCCCCATATACCACATCCCATATTCCAGATCCCCTATCCCACATCCCATATCCCACATCCCCATATCCCACATCCCCTATCCCCATATCCCACATCCCCAAATCCACATCCCATGCCCCCATATCCCATGTCCCACTATCCCACACCCCTTATACCACATCCCCTATCCCACATCCCCACATCCCATATCCCACATCCCTTATTCCACATCCCATGACCCCATATCCCACATCCCCTACCCCACATCCCATGTCCCACGTCCCCTATCCCATATCCCCACATCCCACGTCCCCATATCCCACATCCCATGTCCCACTATCCCACACCCCTTATACCACATCCCGTATCCCACATGCCCTATCCCACATCCCCACATCCCATATCCCACACCCCTTATACCACATCCCCTATCCCACATCCCCACATCACCTACCCCCATATCCCACATCCCCACATCCCCTATCCCACATCCCCTACCCCCATATCCCACATCCCCACATCCCCTACCCCCATGTCCCGCGTCCCCTATCCCCCATCTCCCCCCCATCTCCCCCGTGTCCCGCCGCTCACCGAGGTGCGCCACGCGCCGCAGCCGGGGGTCGAACCCCACCTGCCGGACCTTGTCCGTGCGGGCCAGGAAGAAGTTGACGACGCCGTCGGTGACGACGCAGGCCGGGAAGCCCGCGAGGCGGTGATGGAAGCCGGGGCGGGCCCGCAGGCAGTCCCCGCCCGCGCCGCCCGCCCGCACCGAGAGCCGCTGCCGGTAGGTGGTGGTGAAACCGGTGATCTCCCGCACAGCGCCACCCACCTGCGGGAGCCGCGGCGCCGTCACTGCGGGAGCCGGACGGGGGCGGGGGCGGGGGCGGGAACGGGAACAGGGAACGGGGAATAACAGGGAATGGGAACGGGAACAGGGAACGGGGAACAGGGAACAGGGAATGGGAACAGACACGGGAATGGGAACGGGAACAGGAACAGGGAACGGGGAATAACAGGGAATGGGAACGGGAACAGGGAACGGGGAATAACAGGGAACAGAGAATGGGAACAGGGAACGGGGAACAGGGAACAGGGAATGAGAACAGGAACAGGGAACGGGGAACGGGAACAGGGAATGGGAACAGACACAGGAGTGGGAACGGGAACAGGGAATGGGAACAGGAACAGGGAACGGGGAATGGGAACAGGGAATGGGAGCAGATACGGGAACAGGGAACAGGGAATGGGAACAGACACGGGAATGGGAACGGGAACAGGGAACGGGGAACAGACACAGGAGTGGGAACGGGAACAGGGAATGGGAACAGACACAGGAGTGGGAACGGGAACAGGGAATGGGAACAGACACAGGAGTGGGAACGGGAACAGGGAACGGGGAATGGGAACGGGAACAGGGAATGGGAGCAGATACGGGAACAGGGAACAGGGAATGGGAACAGACACAGGAATGGGAACGGGAACAGGGAATGGGAGCAGACACGGGAGTGGGAACGGGAACAGGGAATGGGAGCAGATACGGGAACAGGGAACAGGGAATGGGAACAGACACGGGAATGGGAACGGGAACAGGGAATGGGAGCAGACACAGGAATGGGAACGGGAACAGGGAATGGGAACAGACACAGGAGTGGGAACGGGAACAGGGAATGGGAGCAGATACGGGAACAGGGAACAGGGAATGGGAGCAGACACGGGAATGGGAACGGGAACAGGGAATGGGAACAGACACAGGAATGGGAACGGGAACAGGGAATAGGAGCAGACACGGGAATAGGAAAGGGAACAGGAACAGGGAATGGGAACAGACACGGGAATGGGAACGGGAACAGGGAATGGGAGCAGACACGGGAATGGGAACGGGAACAGGGAATGGGAGCAGACACGGGAATGGGAACGGGAACAGGGAATGGGAGCAGACACGGGAATGGGAACGGGAACCGGAACAGACATGGAAATAGGAATGGGAACAGAAATGGGAATGGGAATAGACACGGGGATTGAAAAGGGAACAGGGAATGGGGAACGGGAGCAGACGTGAATGGGAACGGGAACTGGAACAGGCATGGGGATGGGGATGGCAATGGACACGGGAATTGAAAGGAAAGGGAACAGGAGCAGGAATAGGAATGGGAATAGGAACAAACATGGGAATGGGAATGGGACCGAGAGCACCGGCACCAGGAAAAGGAACCAGGACCCCGGCATTGGCACTGGGAACGGGAACCCAGCATCAGCACCGGGAATGGGACCTGAAGCCCAGGTCCAGCAATGGCTCTGGGCACCAGGAACAGGGTGGGAGCAGCCCCCGGGGCCCTGGGACAGGGGCAGGGATGGGAGCAGCGGCCCCGCCGTCAGCACCGGGGATGGGTTGAGAGCAGCCCCCGGGGCCCTGGGATGGGGCAGGGATGGGAGCAGCGGCCCCGCCGTCAGCACCGGGGATGGGTTGAGAGCAGCCCCCGGGACCCTGGGATGGGGCTGGGACCCGAGGGCACCCCCGCCCCCCCCGCACCAGGTCCAGGCTGGTTCTCTCCAGCACATCCACGAGCTTCTCGAGCCGCGTGCGGGGCGTGAAGATGAAGTCGTCGTCCACCCACAGCACGTACTTGGTGCTCACCTGGGACACGGCCAGGTTCCGCCCCGCGAACCAGCCCTGCGGGGACGGCGTCAGCCCCACGCCTGCCCCACTGCGCCCACGGCAGCCAACGGCACCCCCATGGCACCCCCATGGTAACCCCCATGGTAACCGCATGGTAACCCCCATGGTAACCCCACGGTAACCCCATGGTAACCCCATGGTAACCCCATGGTAACCCCATGGTAACCCCATGGCCCCCCACAGCCACCCCATGGTAACCCCATGGCAACCCCATGGTAACCCCATGGTAACCCCATGGTAACCCCATGGTAACCCCATGGCACCCCATGGTAACCCCATGGTAACCCCATGGTAACCCCATGGCACCCCATGGTAACCCCATGGTAACCCCATGGCCCCCCACAGCCACCCCATGGTAACCCCATGGCAACCCCATGGTAACCCCATGGTAACCCCATGGTAACCCCATGGCACCCCACAGCCACCCCATGCTCACCACGTGTCCACCCCACAGCAACCCATGATGTCCACAGCACCCCAAGGCATCCCACAGCACCCCATGGTAACCCATGGCATCCACAGCACTCACAACACCCCAAGGCACCCCATTGCATCCCGTGGCACCCAACAGCATCCCACAGTACCCCATGGAACCCCATGGCAACCCACATCACCCCACCGCAGCCTATGGCACCCTCAGCACCCCTTGAGACCCCACAGCATCCTATTGCACCCCACACCTCCCCACAGCCCTCCATGGCACCCACAGCACCCCATGGCACCCCACAGTATCCTATGGCATCCCACAACTCCCCACAGCACCCCATGGCACCCACGGCACCCCATGGCACCCACAGCACCCCATGGCACCCCACAGTATCCTATGGCATCCCACAACTCCCCACAGCACCCCATGGCACCCACAGCACCCCATGGCACCCCACAACTCCCCACAGCACCCCATGACACCCACAGCACCCCACAGCATCCTATGGCACCCCACAACTCCCCACAGCACCACATGGCACCCACAGCACCCCATGGCACCTACAGCATCCTATGGCACCCCACAACTCCCCACAGTATCCCATGACACCCCACAGCACCCCATGACACCCCACAGCACCCCATGGCACCCCACAGCATCCTATGGCACCCCACAACTCCCCACAGCACCCCATGGCACCCACAGCACCCCATGGCACCCACAGCACCCTATGGCACCCCACAACTCCCCACAGCACCCCATGACACCCCACAGCACCCCATGGCACCCACAGCACCCCATGGCACCCCACAACTCCCCACAGCACCCCATGGCACCCACGGCACCCCATGGCACCCACAGCACCCCATGGCCCCCCCAGCACCCCATGGCACCCCACAACTCCCCACAGCACCCCATGGCACCAACAGCCCCCCATGGCCCCCCAGCCCCCCGGGCGCACCTTGCCGAAGGGCATGACGTAGTGCTCGAGGTGGGGCCCGCTGAGCGGCTCGGGCCGGGGGCTGTCGTCGGCCACCACCACGGTGACGCCGGGGTAGAAGCGGCGGATGCTGGAGAGGAGCCCCCGCAGCTTCTCGTAGCGCAGGAAGGTTTTGGTGGCGATGGTGACCAGAGCCGAGACGTTGTAACCTGGGGGAGGGGCCAGGGAACGGGGCTGAACCGGGGGGGAAAGGGACTGGGGCACTGGGAGCACTGGGGGGCACTGGGAGCACTGGGGGGTGGGCACTGGGAGCACTGGGGGGCACTGGGAGCACCGGGGGGTGGGCACTGGGAGCACTGGGAGCACTGGGGGGGGGGCACTGGGAGCACGGTTGGGCACTGGGAGTACTGGGGGGTGGGCACTGGGAGCACGGTTGGGCACTGGGAGCACTGGGGGGTGGGCACTGGAGGACGCGGGGGGCACTGGGAGCACTGGGGGTCACTGGGAGCCCTGGGGGGCACTGGGAGCACTGGGGGGTGGGCACTGGGAGCACTGGGGGGCACTGGGAGCACTGGGGGGAGGGCACTGGGAGCACTGGGGGACACTGGGAGTACTGGGGGTACTGGGAGCACTGGGGGTACTGGGAGCACTGGGAGTACTGGGAGCACTGGGAGTACTGGGAGCACTGGGAACACTGGGAGCACTGGGGGGCACTGGGAGCACTGGGAGCACTGGGAGCACTGGGGAGCACTGGGGGGAACTGGGGGCACTGGGGGCACTGGGAGCACTGGGGGGCACTGGGAGCACTGGGGGGGCACTGGGAAGCACTGGGAGGCACTGGGAAGCACTGGGAGGCACTGGGAGCACTGGGAAGCACTGGGAGGCACTGGGGGGGGCACTGGGAAGCACTGGGAGGCACTGGGAGCTGGGGGGGCACTGGGAGCACTGGGGGGGCACTGGGAGCACTGGGGGGGGCACTGGGGGCATTAACGGGGCACTGGGAGCACTGAAGGGTCACTGGGAGCACTGGGGGGCACTGGGAGCACTGGGGGGGCACTGGGAGCACTGGAGGGGCACTGGGAGCACTGGGGGGCACTGGGAGCACTGGGGGGGCACTGGGAGCACTGGAGGGGCACTGGGAGCACTGGGGGGTGGGCACTGGGAGCACTGGGGGGCACTGGGAGCACTGGGAGCACTGGGGGGGCACTGGGAGCACTGGGAGGGGCACTGGGAGCACTGGGGGGGGCACTGGGAGCACTGGGGGGGCACTGGGAGCAATAGGGGGGGGCACTGGGAGCACTGGGGGGCACTGGGAGCATGGGGGGGGCACTGGGGCTCAGTCCCAGTCACCTCCGTCACCGTCACTGTCCCCGGGCCCATAGAGCCTTGGCGCGGGCGGGTGCCGGATGCGGATGGCGAAGGCGGCCTCGTGCCCGTGGGTGCAGAACTGCACTGGAGGGGCAGTGGGAGCTGGGCGGCACCGGCACCCCCCCACCGCGGGGACCCCCTCCCCGGCCACGGACCCCAGGGGGGGGCACCCACCTCAGCCCACCCATGGACCAGCTCCCATCCGCATCCCACCCATGGACCAGCTCCCATCCGCATCCCACCCATGGACCAGCTCCCATCCGCATCCCACCCATGGACCAGCTCCCATCCGCATCCCACCCATGGACCAGCTCCCATCCGCATCCCACCCATGGACCAGCTCCCATCCGCATCCCACCCATGGACCAGCTCCCATCCACATCCCCCACCCATGGACCAGCTCCCATCCGCATCCCCCATGGACCAGCTCCATCCGCATCCCACCCATGGACCAGCTCCATCCACATCCCACATCCCACCCATGGACCAGCTCCCATCCGCATCCCACCCATGGACCAGCTCCCATCCGCATCCCACCCATGGACCAGCTCCCATCCACATCCCACATCCCACCCATGGACCAGCTCCCATCCGCATCCCACCCATGGACCAGCTCCACCACATCCCCCATGGACCAGCTCCATCCGCATCCCACCCATGGACCAGCTCCCATCCGCATCCCACCCATGGACCAGCTCCCATCCGACATCCCACCCATGGACCAGCTCCCATCCGCATCCCACCCATGGACCAGCTCCATCCGCATCCCACCCATGGACCAGCTCCCATCCACATCCTCACATCCCACCCATGGACCAGCTCCCATCCACATCCCACCCATGGACCACATCCGCATCCCACCCATGGACCAGCTCCCATCCGCATCCCACCCATGGACCAGCTCCCATCCGCATCCCACCCATGGACCAGCTCCCATCCGCATCCCACCCATGGACCAGCTCCCATCCACATCCCACATCCCACCCATGGACCAGCTCCCATCCGCATCCCACCCATGGACCAGCTCCCATCCACATCCCACCCATGGACCAGCTCCATCCGCATCCCACCCATGGACCAGCTCCCATCCACATCCCACATCCCACCCATGGACCAGCTCCCATCCGCATCCCACCCATGGACCAGCTCCCATCCACATCCCACCCATGGACCAGCTCCCATCCGCATCCCACCCATGGACCAGCTCCCATCCGCATCCCACCCATGGACCAGCTCCCATCCGCATCCCACCCATGGACCAGCTCCCATCCGCATCCCACCCATGGACCAGCTCCCATCCGCATCCCACCCATGGACCAGCTCCATCCGCATCCCACCCATGGACCAGCTCCCATCCGCATCCCACCCATGGACCAGCTCCCATCCGCATCCCACCCATGGACCAGCTCCCATCCGCATCCCACCCATGGACCAGCTCCCATCCACATCCCACCCATGGACCACTCCCATCCGCATCCCACCCATGGACCAGCTCCCATCCGCATCACCCATGGACCAGCTCCCTCCGCATCCCACCCATGGACCAGCTCCCATCCGCATCCCACATCCCACCCATGGACCAGCTCCCATCCACATCCCACATCCCACCCATGGACCAGCTCCCATCCGCATCCCACCCATGGACCAGCTCCCATCCGCATCCCACCCATGGACCAGCTCCCATCCGCATCCCACCCATGGACCAGCTCCATCCGCATCCCACCCATGGACCAGCTCCCATCCGCATCCCACCCATGGACCAGCTCCCATCCGCATCCCACATCCCACCCATGGACCAGCTCCCATCCACATCCCACATCCCACCCATGGACCAGCTCCCATCCGCATCCCACCCATGGACCAGCTCCTCACATCCCACATCCCACCCATGGACCAGCTCCCATCCGCATCCCACCCATGGACCAGCTCCCATCCACATCCCACCCATGGACCAGCTCCCATCCGCATCCCACCCATGGACCAGCTCCCATCCGCATCCCACCCATGGACCAGCTCCCATCCACATCCCACCCATGGACCAGCTCCCATCCGCATCCCACCCATGGACCAGCTCCCATCCGCATCCCAATGGACCAGCTCCCATCCGCATCCCACCCATGGACCAGCTCCCATCCGCATCCCACCCATGGACCAGCTCCCATCCGCATCCCACCCATGGACCAGCTCCCATCCGCATCCCACCCATGGACCAGCTCCCATCCGCATCCCACCCATGGACCAGCTCCCATCCGCATCCCACATCCCACCCATGGACCAGCTCCCATCCGCATCCCACCCATGGACCAGCTCCCATCCGCATCCCACCCATGGACCAGCTCCCATCCGCATCCCACCCATGGACCAGCTCCCATCCGCATCCCACCCATGGACCAGCTCCCATCCGCATCCCACCCATGGACCAGCTCCCATCCGCATCCCACCCATGGACCAGCTCCCATCCACATCCCACATCCCACCCATGGACCAGCTCCCATCCGCATCCCACCCATGGACCAGCTCCCATCCACATCCCACCCATGGACCAGCTCCCATCCGCATCCCACCCCCCATGGACCAGCTCCCATCCGCATCCCACCCATGGACCAGCTCCCATCCACATCCCACCCATGGACCAGCTCCCATCCGCATCCCACATCCCACCCATGGACCAGCTCCCATCCGCATCCCACATCCCACCCATGGACCAGCTCCCATCCGCATCCCACCCATGGACCAGCTCCCATCCGCATCCCACCCATGGACCAGCTCCATCCACATCCCACCCATGGACCAGCTCCCATCCGCATCCCACCCATGGACCAGCTCCCATCCGCATCCCACCCATGGACCAGCTCCCATCCGCATCCCACCCATGGACCAGCTCCCATCCGCATCCCACCCATGGACCAGTTCCATCCAAAGCACCCACCCATGGACCAGCTCCCATCCGCATCCCACCCATGGACCAGCTCCCATCCGCATCCCACCCATGGACCAGCTCCCATCCACATCCCACATCCCACCCATGGACCAGCTCCCATCCGCATCCCACCCATGGACCAGCTCCCATCCGCATCCCACCCATGGACCAGCTCCCATCCACATCCCACATCCCACCCATGGACCAGCTCCCATCCGCATCCCACCCATGGACCAGCTCCCATCCACAGCACCCACCCCGAGCCCCCCTAGGCCCAGCACCCACCGATGTCGGCGGTGTCGGGGTGGAACACGGTGTTGGTGTAGGTGACGAACTGGAGCTGCCGGTTGAGGTGGTCCAGGCGGGTGCTGGCCATGGAGAGGTGGGGCTGCCCCTCACCGCGCAGCAGCACCCCCTCTACCACCGCAGCCACCGCCAGCGTCCCCATGGAGGCCGTCAGGTTCACCTGGGGCAATGGGGGGCAATGGGGGGCAATGGGGGGCAATGGGGGGACGTGTCCCAGGGGGTGCCTTTGATCTGCCCCCCTGCCCTCCACCCACCCTCACCTCATAGCTCTCCCTGCCGGCCGCCTGCAGGCTGAGCCCTGTGGGACCAGAGATGGGGGCAGATGAGTGGGGCAGAGGCCTCCTGCCCCCCTGCCCCACAGCGCCCTCCCGGGCCCCCGGCCCCTCTCACCGGGCACCAGCACCGTCTGCAGCGGCCGCACCTCCACCCCCTGCGCCGGGTACTCCAGGGGCGAGTTAGCGCGGACGATGAGGAGGCGATCGGCCGGAGACTGCACCCTGTGGGGAGCGCGCAGTGGGTGCCCTGCCCCATGGCGCCCTGCCCCATAGCAGGTGCTCACCCTGCCCCATAGCGCCCTGCCCCATAGCAGGTGCTCATCCTGCCCCATAGCGCCCTGCCCCATAGCAGGTGCTCACCCTGCCCCATAGCGCCCTGCCCCATAGCAGGTGCTCATCCTGCCCCATAGCACCCTGCCCCATAGCAGGTGCTCATCCTGCCCCATAGCGCCCTGCCCCATAGCAGGTGCTCATCCTGCCCCATAGCGCCCTGACCCATAGCAGGTGCTCACCCTGCCCCATAGCAGGTGCTCACCCTGCCCCATAGCAGGTGCTCATCCTGCCCCATAGCGCCCTGCCCCATAGCAGGTGCTCATCCTGCCCCATAGCGCCCTGCCCCATAGCAGGTGCTCATCCTGCCCCATAGCAGGTGCTCATCCTGCCCCATAGCGCCCTGCCCCATAGCAGGTGCTCACCCTGCCCCATAGCGCCCTGCCCCATAGCAGGTGCTCATCCTGCCCCATAGCAGGTGCTCATCCTGCCCCATAGCGCCCTGCCCCATAGCAGGTGCTCACCCTGCCCCATAGCAGGTGCTCACCCTGCCCCATAGCACCCTGCCCCATAGCAGGTGCTCACCCTGCCCCATAGCAGGTGCTCACCCTGCCCCATAGCAGGTGCTCATCCTGCCCCATAGCACCCTGCCCCATAGCAGGTGCTCACCCTGCCCCATAGCGCCCTGCCCCATAGCAGGTGCTCGCCCTGCCCCACGGTGACCCCGCTCCGCTGCCCCCCCCCGCTCACCGCTGCCGGTACGAGCGGAACTCGCGCTCCCGCTGCTGCTGCAGCCGCCGCTCGCCGGTTCCGAAGCTGCTGCCGAAGTCAACGGCGCCGCGGCCCTGCCCGAAGAGCGGCCCCGGCTCCGCCGCGCACGAGCACCCGTTCCCGGGCAGCAGCCTGCAGGGGGCGGAGCGGAGCCGGATGGGGCAGCATGGACCAGTACGGACCAGTACGGACCAGTATGGATCAGTATGGACCAGTATGGAACAGTATGGGTCAGTATGAACCAGTATGGATCAGTATGGATCAGTATGGAACAGTATGGGTCAGTATGGAACAGTATGGGTCAGTATGGAACAGTATGGATCAGTATGGATCAGTATGGGTCAGTATGGAACAGTATGGATCAGTATGAACCAGTATGGATCAGTATGGGTCAGTATGGATCAATATGGAACAGTATGGACCAGTATGGAACAGTATGAACCAGTATGGATCAGTATGGAACAGTATGGATCAGTATGGGTCAGTATGGAACAGTATGGATCAGTATGAACCAGTATGGATCAGTATGGGCCAGTATGGATCAGTATGGGTCAGTATGGACCAGTATGGATCAGTATGGGTCAGTATGGAACAGTATGGGTCAGTATGGATCAGTATGGACCAGTATGGATCAGTATGAACCAGTATGGATCAATATGGGTCAGTATGGAACAGTATGGATCAGTATGGATCAGTATGGAACAGTACGGATCAGAATAGACCAGTACGGATCAGTATGGACCAGTATGGATCAGTATGGAACAGTATGGATCAGTATGGACCAGTACGGATCAGTATGGACCAGTATGGATCAGTATGGAACAGTATGGAACAGTATGGAACAGTATGGATCAGAATAGACCAGTACGGATCAGTATGGACCAGTATGGATCAGAATAGACCAGTACGGATCAGTATGGACCAGTATGGATCAGTATGGAACAGTATGGATCAGTATGGACCGGTACGGATCAGAATAGACCGGTATGGAACAGTATGGATCAGTATGGACAAGTATGGATCAGTATGGACAAGTATGGATCAGTATGGACAAGCATTGACCAGCATGGACCAGTATGGACCAGTATGGACCTGTATAGACCAGCATGCACCAGTATGGACCTGTATGGACCCGCATGGACCCGTATGGACCAGCATGGGCCCGTATGGACCAGTATGGACCCACATGGACCAGTATGGAGCAGCATGGGCCAGCACAGCCTTGCCGCCCACGCTGACGCCTCCTCAGCCCCACCAATCACCCTGCCACAGCCCCATGGCTCCAGCCCCCAGCCCCGGGGTGCTCCATCCCTGGGTCCATGGACTCACCCCCCTTGGGTGCCACCCAAAGCATGGCTCCCCCCAACAGCGCCTGCTCCCAGCCATGGGTGCCGCTGTCCTGAGGTTCTCACGTCTATGGGTCCCCCCACCCATGGGTGCCCTCATTCCCCCCCCCCATGAATAACCCCCCCATGTGCCCCCCACACCCCCACCGTGGGCCCCGCCCTCACTCGATGACGTCACGGCGCAGGCGGAAGGGCACGTGCGGGTAGGCGCGCGCGGGCCCTCGTGGGGGGGGCGGCAGGCGGGGGGGGCCGCTCAGGTCCACGCTGGGGGGGCCCGCGGGCACCCAGAGGTGCAGCAGCAGCGCCAGCGCCGAGGCCACGCCCACCGCCAGCGCGCACGAGCGCGGCGCGCCACGCATGCTGCGGCCGGCAGGGGGCGCTGCAGCAGAGGGAGGGGACACAGCGTGACCCCGAGTGACCCCGAGAGTACACCGACCCCTCCCCAGTTCATCCCAGTGCCCCCCCCCCCGGTTCCCCCAGCACCCTCCAGAACCTCCCATTGCCTCCCCACTTGCTCCCAGTGTCCCCAGGAATCCCACAGTGTCCCTCTGTGATCCAAGCCTTTCCAGCACCCCCCTGTCACTCCCAGTGCCTCCCAGTGCCCCCCAGTGCTCCCAATGCCCCCCACTGCTCCCCAGTGCGCCCAGTGCCCCGCAGTGCTCCCACTGCTCCCAGTGCATCCCAGTGCCCTGCAGTTTCCCCCAGTGCTCCCCAGTGCCCCCCATCATTCCAGTGCCCTCCAGCGCTTCCTAGTGCCCCCCAGTGCCCCCTCATCATTCCAGTGCTCCCAGTGTTCCCCAGTGCCTCCCAGTGCTCCCAGTGCCCCCAGTTCTCCCAGTGCCCCCAGTGCTTCCCACTGTCCCCAGTGCTCCCACTGCCCTCAGTGCTCCCAGCACCCCCAGCATCCCCAGTCTCACCTCGGGCTGGCTGCAGGTCTCTTGGGGGTTCTCAGCTCACGCTCATGGCTCTGTCCCCCACAACACCGGCCTGGGGACACAGGGACAGCATCAGGGCCAGGGGACACACACAGACCCCCCACGGGGGTTCTGTGCAAGGAGGGGGGGGTCAGGATTGGGGTGGGCAGGAATGGGGGGGCAGGAATGGGGGGCAGGATGGGGGCGTAGGATTGGGGAATCAGGAATGGAGGGGGTCAGGACTGTGGCGGTTTGGGAATGGTGGCCCAGGAATCAGGGCACAGGATTGGGGATGCAGGATTGGGGGGGTCAGGAGTGGAGAGATCAGGATTGAAGGGGTCTGGCAATGGAGGGCGAGGAGTAGGGGGACAGGATTGGGGGATCAGGAATGGAGGGGGGGTTAGGAGTGGGCGGGTCAGGTTGCGGGGGTTCGACAGTGGGAGATAGACCGGGGGGAGTCAGGCAATGCGGCCAATGCGGGGCTTGAGGGATTTAGAGGCCCGGGGGGGAGCTTAGGGAAAAGGGAGATGTAGGCGGATGGCCCCTCTCGCCTCGACCTGTAGCGATATGGAGGCTCTAGATGGCCCCGGCCCTACCTGGCTCCGCCGGCGGGTCCCGGCACCGGCAGAGGCGGGGGTCTGTCGGTGTCTGCGGGGGGGGGGGAAACGGGCGCCCCCGGCGGCCCCGGTTGGGAACGGCACCGCCGCAGCCCCGGGAGGGGCGGGAAGCAGGGGAGCGGGGGGAGACAAAGAGCGGGAAGGAGGCGGCCGCCGCTGTCACCGGCGCATCGGGCCTGGCGGGGGTCGGGATAGGGGCCCCCCCTCGGCTTATCGCCGGGTCCCGCCCCCCTGTGAGGCGGAGGCTCCTGGCGCCACAGGCCGGGCTCTGTCCAGTCATGGGCAGAACAACGGTGCCATTGAGCCCCCGGGGGGTGGAACGGGGGGGGCCGGGACTGCCCGAGGCGGAGGGGACCGGAGGGGCAATGGGAGGATGGGGGCTGGGATCTGGGGGCTGGGGAGGGAATTGGGGGCTGGGAATTGGGGAGCGGGAATTGGGGAGGGGGGGTGCTCCTGGGGGTCGCGGGGGGAACGGGACGGGGGAGGCTCACCCTGGAGAGGGGCCGGGCCCCCTCCTCCCGGCTCCGTTAATCACGTGACAAAGCGCCCCCCCAACCTCCCCTCAAGCCCCCTCAGGGATGCTCTGCACGCTCTCCACCAATCAGGGCTCGGGGTTCGCCTGCATCCCGCTCAGCCAATGGGGAGCCGGCATCCCCGCCTCTGCCTGCGTCATCGCTCTCCGCCTCCCCATTGGCTCAGACCAGCGCTGACTCGGCCCAATCGCTTCCAGCAGCGGGAGGAACCTCCGCCCTGCGCCGCGGACTCAACACCGGTGACGTCACCGCGGGCAGCTGACCAATAGAAGGAGAGCACCGCTCTGACGGGCAGCCGCTCTGACCAATCGCTGCGCAAAACGTAGGGCGCGGGGGCGGGCACGGGGAGGTGCCGGGCGGAAGCGGCTCGGTGAGGAGGGCGAAGATGGCGGCGCTGCGGTGCCGGGGCCCGGGCCCGGGGCCGCTTCTCCTCTCGGTCCTGGCCGTGCTGGGCCCGGCGCTGCGGGGCGCCCGCGCCGCGCTGGACCTGCAGGAGCTCGGCGAGCTTAAGTACGGCCTCGAGATCCTGGCCGAGCCCGTGCTGGCCGGGCAGGTGCGCGGGGCAGCGGCCGGGGAACAGCGGCCCGGGCGGTCCCGGGGATGGGGCTCGGTACCGGGCTGAGGACACCGCGTGTTCCACTGCGGTTCCCGGCGCGAAGGCACCACCCGGGCATGGAGCTGGGGGCTCCGGGCGCTGAGCAGCTCCCGTGGCTCCCCCCAGGGCAGGAACCGGCTCCGTGGGGCCGGGAACGGGGCCCCCGCGCCTCGGTAGCTCGGGCCCCTTCGGGCAGAGTGGGCTTGGGGGCAACTGAGGCACGGGGAGGGGGACACCGGTGCCCTCCAAGGACCGAGCCCCGAGCCCCGTGTCCCCCCCAGCGCCCGCCGGGGGACGTGGTGACGGTGGCCTCCAAGTTCAAGCAGCGCTACGAGTGCCGGCTCCCGGCGGCGGCCGTGCGGAGCCCCCCGGAGCCCCTGGAGGAGGCACAGCTCTACAACGGCTCCGGGGTCAGCGAGCTCCTGCAGCCCATGGCAGCGGCTCCCTGCCTCGTCAAGGTGGGCTCTGGGGCACAGAGTGGGCCCTAGGGACAAGGGCTGGGATTTGGGGGCCCCCATCCCTGCTCATCCCCATGTTTTACAGACCAAGGACTGGTGGACCTACGAGTTCTGCTATGGGAAGCACATCCAGCAGTACCATGTGGAAGGTGATGGTGGCACAAGGAGGATGGGGGGGGGGCAAATTGTCCCCAATGGCCCCTCCAGCCTGTGCCTCTGTGGCTTCTCACTGTAGAGTCAGAGATCAAAGGAGACATCCTCTTCCTCGGCTATTATCAGTCAGCGTTCGACTGGGATGACGAAACAGCCAAGGTTTGGGCTCCATCCTGCCTGCATGTGCCAGCAGCCAGCCTGCGTACGAGCCAGCAGAGAATCCCCAGCTCCAACCCCTCTGCAGGCCTCCAAGCAGCACCGGCTGAAGCGCTACCACAGCCAGAGCTACGTGAACGGCTCCCGCTGCGACCTCACCGGCAGGGCCCGCGAGGCTGAAGTGAGGGTGAGGCTGCAGCAGCACTGGGAAGTGGTGGCGGTGATGGTGGTGGTGGTGATGATGGTAGCAGTGATGGTGGTGATGGTAGTGGTGATGGTCATGGTGGTGATGATGATGGTAGCGGTGATGATAGTAGTGGTGATGGTCATGGTGGTGATGGTGATGATGATGGTAGCGGTGATGATAGTAGCGGTGATGGTGGTGGTGATGGTGATGATGATGGTAGTGGTGATGATGGTAGCGGTGATGATGGTAGTGGTGATGGTCATGGTGGTGATGGTGATGATGATGGTAGCGGTGATGATAGTAGCGGTGATGGTGGTGGTGATGGTGATGATGATGGTAGTGGTGATGATGGTAGCGGTGATGATGGTAGTGGTGATGGTCATGGTGGTGATGGTGATGATGATGGTAGCGGTGATGATAGTAGCGGTGATGGTGGTGGTGATGGTGGTGGTGGTGATGGTAGTGGTGGTGATGGTGATGATGGTGATGATGATGGTGGTGATGGTGATGATGGTAGCGGTGATGATGGTGATGATGATGGTAGCGGTGATGGTGGTAGCGGTGATGGTGGTGGCGATGGTGATGATGGTGATGATAATGGTAGCAGTGATGATGCTGGTTGTGGTGATGGTGGTGATGATGATGGTGGTGCTGATGGTGGTGACGGTGCTGATGGTGGTGGTGTTGATGATGGCTCCACCTCCCAGTTCCTGTGTGAGGAGGGAGCTGGTGACCACCTCGCCCGCGTGGACGAGCCCCAGTCCTGCTCCTATGTGCTCACGGTTCACACCCCCCGCATCTGCCACCACCCGCTCCTGCGGCCGTCCCCCGCCGCGGCGCCGCAGCCCATCCTGTGCCAGCCCGCGCTCAGCCCGGCCCAGTACGTCCAGTACGTCCAGGCCCAAGTCTGTGAGTAGCGGGGCCCCCCCCGGGGTGGGTGCAGGGTGGGACCCTGCAGGGGTGACGCGGGTCCCCCTCTTGTGTCCCCGCAGCGGACACCAAGCGGAAGGTGGAGGAGATCTCGGAGGAGCTCAAGACGTTGGACACGAGGCTGTGGAGTGAGAGGGATGTGGAGACCCCCGGGACCCCCCCCGAGGGGGCGCCGGTGGCCCATGGTGACGGTAGGGCCCGTGGGCCATGGCCGAGGAGCCACCGCAAGGGGGGGGCAGCCGTGCCCACGGCCCCTCCTCTTCCTCCCCTACCAGCCCCGCCGAGGGATGAAGCAGAGCCAGCCAAGGAGCAGGGCCACGAGGTGAGCGGTGAGGATGGCGGCCACCAGGACAGTACCAGGGTGAGTCCTCCCGGGTGTCCCTTTGGGCAGGAGCCGCGTTGGGTTCCTGCTCCATCATCCCCTCTTCTGCAGGCGGAGGAGCCGTCCCTGAGGGCCGCCGGTGGCTGGGTGACCGGTGAGTCCCTCGGTGCTGCCTGCTCCCTGTGCCCCCCCCCGCAGCCCCGGCCCCCCCCGCCTGTCCTTTGCTGTGCTCTCCTTGTAGATCCGCGGAAGAAAATCCACTTCAAAGTGATCCGGAGCCTCGGGGACCTGCTCCAGTTCATGGAGGAGCTGAAGGAGAGCTCCAGGAAGGTGGGGGCCCGCGGGGAGCTGCTCCCAGCCGCGCCTTTCCCCTTGCCTCCGAGCGGTGCCCATGAGAACCTTCCCTCCACCTCCAGGCCAAGGAGAAGGTGAGGGAGGAGGAGGAGGAGGTGGGGGAGGCCGCGGCCAAGGCCCCCCCAGCCCATGAGGAGCCCTCAGGGGGTGACAAG